CATTTGAATTTTAGATTTTATAAGTATACATAAATTGATCTATATACATAATATATGAAAGTAGAAGCATGACTGAGTGAGGGAAGGCAACAACCAAGGGGAGATGACAGGAAGGAGAGGGTATGGGGACTTAATAGGGTCAGAGTAATGGTGGACTTGAAAGATCTTGCCTTAATGAAATCTAGCACTATGCATAATGAATAGATACCAATTAAAAAATTAAAACCATTATTTAACAAAATGTTGCATTGTTACAATGTATACTTTATAGGAATTGAGAAGCTGCAAGACATGTTTTAAAAGAAATATTGCTTTGATGTGTTATATTCTTCCCATCACAATTGTGATTTAATATTTAAAAATATAGTAGTAAATTACTATGATCATAGTTCTCAACAGGAACATATGTTATTGTATGCTGTTATATTAAAATATATTAACACTTGAAAATGTAAAAATTTTAATGAAATAACAATGTTGTGTACATATGGGTATGTGTGTATGTGACCATATATGTGTGTGTTATTTCTATACGTATAATATCTGTATGTGATTATATATTTGTATTTTGTTTTGTTTTTCCTGTTATTTAAAGTAGATTTTTTCTCATATAATACAGTGAAGGAAGTAAATGGCAATTATTGATTTGGGCAAATGACTCCCGCAGTTACATGAATGGCCCAGAAGGAAGCAAACTTGGGAGGGAACATGACAGTAACACAGTACTAAACATGTGTAATGACAACTTTAAACATGACTTACGGGGTTTAACCCATTATTACTCAAAAAGTTTGTACTGTATTTTTTTTTTTGCCATTCTCACAGTATCCAAAGTGGTACATCACTTTTTATTTTAAAATTCTTTTGGAGGGGGGGAGTGGAGGGGCAAAGGGACAGAGATTAGAGACAGTAATGGTAGAATCAAGACACAGAGAAGAGAAACGGGGTGGAGAGAGAGAGACAGAGAGAGAGAGAGAGAGAGAGAGAGAGAGAGAAAAGAGAGCAAGAGTCAGTGAATGTGAACACATGCTACAGACTGCACGGGGAGGTCAGAAGACAACTTACACAAGTCGTTTCAGTACTTTCACCATGTGAACCCCGAGGCCCAAACTTAAGTCACCAAGCTTGGTGGCAGGTGCACTTACCACCTGGTTGCCCCAAGAATGGCACATTTCAAAATCCTAATGGCACTTCCTCAGGATCCAAAGCACACAATAGTGAATGTCGCTATATGTTGAGCATGCTCTTTGATCATTTCCTTAAGGGTTTTGATGATTTTCTGGGATCACACTCCAATCCTAATGGTTCTTTTTTAAATGAATTTTAAAAGTTAAATAAAAAATAATCTTATTTTACACACCAATCCCACTTTCCTCTCCCTCCTGTCCTCCTGCTCACCATCCCACTCCTCATCAGAGTGGATGAGGCCTACTATGGGGGAATCACCAAAGTCTGTCACATCATTTGGGGCAGGACCAAGGCCCTCCCTCCTGTATCTAGACTGACAAGAGTATCCCTCCATATGGAATGGGCTCCCAAAAGCCTGTTCATGCACTAGGGATAAATACTGGTTCCACTGCCAGCGGCCCCATAGACTGCCCAAGCCCCACAACTGACACCCACATTCAGGGGGGCCTGGTTCAGTCTTATGCTGGTTCCCCAGATGTCAGTCTGGAGTCAGTGAGCTCCCAATTACTCAGGTCAGATGTTTCTGTGGGTTTCCCAAGCCTGGTTTTGACCCCTTTGCTCATCACTCCTCCTTCTCGGCAACCGAATTCCAGTTCAGCTCAGTGCTTAGTTGTGGGTGTCTGCTTCTGCTTCCATCAGCTACTGGATGAAAGCTCTAGGACAGCATCTTAAGGTAGTCATCAACCTGATTACGGGGGTGGAGGGGTTAAGGTAGCCTCTCCATTATTGCTTAGATTCTTAGTTGGGGTCATCCTTGTGGATTCCTGGGAATTTCCCTAGTGCCAGGTTTCTCATGAAGCCCACAGGGCCTCTCTTTCCTTGCTCTCCTTCTCTGTTCTTCCCCCAACTTGACCTTCCTGATCCCCAGCTTTCTCCTCCACCCTCCCCTTCTCCCCTTTCTCCAACTCCTCCCATGCTGCCAATTTACTCAGGAGATCCTGTCCCTTTCCCCTTTTCAGGGGATCCATGTATGTCTCTCTTAGGGTCCTCCTTGTTTCCTAGCTTCTCTGAGATTGTGGATTATAGGCTGATTATCCTTTGCCCTATGTCTAGTATCCACTTATGAGTGAGTACATATCACGTCTGTCTTTCTGTGTCTGGGTTACCTCACTCGATGGTTTCTATGCACATTTAAGTTCTAGAACACTTCTTAGGGTGTCCATCAGAAGAAAGTAGTTGTTAAAGGGGCTCTATCCCTGACTGTTGGCTCAGATCATCATAGAGGCTTTCTTTCTATTTTTATTAAGGTCTTCTATACAAATTTCAAAAATGGGCCTCCTTATTTGCACAAATGCCTCATTTGCTGGCAGCAGCTAACTAGAGCTCCAGACCATAACTGTTAATCACCTGGCTCTGGGTAACTTCAGCTGTCTTGGTATAACTGCCCTCAAATGTATTTTAATGTGCATTTCATTAATAAGAACTTAAAAAGAACCACAACACCTTGAATGAAACACACACACACACACACACACACACACACACACACACACTTATTAATTAACAAAGGTACATCAGTAACTCCTTACAATATATTTGTAGTCTCTTAACTGCCAAGTTTTCTAACCCATAATTTTTTGCTTCTTAGGCCATGAAAGGTAAAGGCAAAGTTTCCATCCCAATCTCATTCTTGACTACCCTTTTCTTGAGAACTACATTGATCCTCATTAGGTGGATCAGCATGTTCTGTGACAAGTGTCTTCAAATGGGTTGCAGACAGGCCTCAGCTTCCCTCTGTGTTCCCTAAGTCCAGTTGTTCAACGGGGCATCTGCTTTAATAGCAGTGTTTCTGCCATAGATCCCCTGTTGCTGTTTTCACCAAACTCTTGTCGCGTGTGCCTAAGAAGCACTAATTTCCATCACACACAGGAAAACATACCCCATCTTACCACTTTTTCCAAGTGTTTCTGCTGTACCTTGCATAGAACACTTTGCCCTGTGCTATTTCCATGCTCAACACAAAACCCTGGGGGTACTCTGGCCAGAATGTCTTTTTAATACTGATTGCTGCATCTACTTGACTATTCTGCTTTTGTGGATAACAATTAATTTGTGTAGTTCTAACAAACCTTACTCCATGCCCTGGTGGCTGCCCCTTCTATCTAAAGTATTCTTGGCTTTATTCCCCAGATACCCACTACCTTCCTGCCTATGGGTAAGTGTGAGCTAGGTACAAAAAAAGGAACACCTTCAAGGAGTCAGTAAAAGGGAGATTTCCAAAACAGAAGGAGTCAATTTTTTGTTGTTTCTGTTTTCTTTTTTCAAGACAGGGTTTCTCCGTGTAGCCCTGGATGTTCAAGAACACATTCTGCAGACCAGGCTGGCCTGGAACTCACAGAGATCCATCTGCCTTTGCCTCCTGAGTGCTGGGATTAAAGGAGTGCGCCACCACTGCCTGACTTTTTCAAGTGAGAGTATGTGTGTGTTCATCTGGTGAATATTAACTAACAAGTATGGGCATTAGATTATGATGGACTATGATCCAGTAAGAGGCTGGTCAGTGGAGTATACTTTCTTTTTAAACCCAAGTTAAACCTTAAATGACTTCCATTTTTTACTCCAGTATACTGAAAAATTTGGATGTATAGTGGGCTTTTTCCCATTTTTTAATTTTTTGATTTCATTTTACATTCCAAGCACAGTTCTCGCTCCCACCCCATCCTCCCCCCCCCTGCCCAGTTCACCTCCAGTCCACTCCTCCTCACAGGTAAGGGCTCCCATGAGGAGTCAACATAGTCTGGCATAATAGGTTGGGGCAGGGCCCAGTCCCTCTCCCATGCTTTAACACTGAACATAGCATCCCACCATAGGGAATGGGCTCCAACAAGCTAACTCATGTACCAGGTTTGTATCATGGTCCTACTGTCAGGGGCCCAGTGGGGCATACTCTTAAAATGCTGATCACTTGAATAGGTTCTGCACTCTGGAATCTTCAGGTTTTCACTATGTAGTTAGTATTTTAGTTTCGTCATTATTTGAGCAGCTTGCAGGCAATTATAAGGATGAAAGCATTTTCATCTTTTGGCCTCTTTGAGGTGGCAACTGAATGACCCACTAACCTATAGACATTTGAATTCTTCTCCCAAATACTGGGACTGGATGTTACCTATACACGCAGGTGCCTATTAATGAACCACAGGAGAGCCGTGCCTTTCTAAGTACAAACTTCCCCAGCAGAGGCAGTACATTAAATGCTTCCATTCTTTAGACTGTAATTTTTCTCTTAAATTTCAGTTGTCAACAGGTCTCTGAAACCTGGGATCCCAATAGTAAGCTTCTAAAAGGGAAGTTTCCAGATGTGCCTGCAGATGTAGGACTGCTCTGTTTCTACCATGGAACTTTCAGAAGACTAGGGGCAACTAGGGATGAGTAAAATGGGGTTCAAAAGGATGCTGCAAAATAAAGTGAAAAGTTCTCAAGACAAACTTGGTTGATATCTGGCTTTGCCTAAAGGTACCAATAGAAAGTCTAAATCTCCATTTTGACAATAGTTGGGAATGTCTGCAGTGAATTGTTAAATAAAATAAATAAAACAAAAATGTCTTTGTTTCTAATGTCCCTCAGAAACTCAAAGGCATATTCTAAAACACATGAGAAGTTTGTGTGTACCAGTTATCCATTTCATCCTCCTCTTTCAGTATGACATATGAAACTGGTGCTCTTCATTTCATTCTTGTCAAGATGGGAGGCAGTGTTGGGAGCCAAATCACGAACTTAAATTTTATGTTAGAGTTATTAATGTCAAGTTTGGTATACTAGAACATGAATAACTTTTGTCTGAATATGTGAATAAGAATTCATAAAAGAAGGCATAACCAAGGAATTTGAAAACTTTATTAAAAGAATAAAAAATAAACATAAAAAGTAGAATACTAAAATGAGCTACATAATGCACACTTCTAAACACAAACAGGGAATACAACACTGTAACTTGAAAAAGTCCAAACATTTGCAGTTGAGGGAATGAATTACTGCATTTGGGGACAAAATATTATGTGAACAGTTTTTATTTGTAAAATATTTTGGTTATTGCTTAAGTGCTTAATTGTTGCACAGTGCTAAGAATTTTCTTACTATAGCATTCATTTTTTTTCAAGACAGTTTCTCTCTGTGTAGCCTGGCTGTCCTGGAACTCTGTGTAGACCAGGCTGACATTGAACTCACAGAGATCTGCCTGCCTTTGCTTCCCGAGTGTTGGGATTAAAGGCGTGTGCCACCACCACTCAGCTATTATAACATTCTTAAATTGTCATTTTTTTCTGCTCAAACCAAATTCTTCCACTTTCTGTAATCCAGATCATTGTTAGATTAAGGCATAAATTATCCCTTTAAAATTACCCAGGGAGTAACCTAGTTCATCATTTTAAACAAAATAAGCCATCTGGAAGGCTGATATGGAAGAATCAATCCATTTAAGTCATGGAATTTGGACTAGTTTACACACTATAGTGAGTGAGACCTCACCTTTTAAAAAATGGACTTCATTTCAATTATTGTAATTTGGGAGCAAATGGCTCATTTTATAACTAAAGCAATAGCTATAATAATAAAAGGAACTTATTTTGAAAAGGTTATTCCCAGAATCTAATGAAATGGATGGTCATATCATTCACTCAACTGCTAGACACAGACACAGCAACAAACAGTTTGGTTTCTGTCATTAACAGATAACATCTGTGTACAGAAATAAAGCTTTGGAACCATGTAGTTCTATGACAGATAGTCTCAAGGTTGTGTTTGGGATAAAAAGCTTGCTTAATTCTTTTAGGTCTTGCTACAGAGGTATTTTTAAAAGTAACATGACATAAAAGAAGATTCTTGCAGTACCTATAAAGAGTGGCAACCTATGTCAGACAAAAGCACTCTTCATTTTTAGGTACACTGCAATTAAAGAGGGGTTCTGTAATAAACATAAAATTCCTCTGGAATAAACCAGATTTTTAATGTTGGTAATTCACTTATAGCAAGGGCAGATAGAGGGGCTATAAATTATGACTGTCATAAGTTAATACCAATTGATGTCATCTTTTGGCTTTAGTCATATGCATTTGTTATAGTTAATTCTCCATCTTGTTTTACTGCTTTAAATACAGTCACTATGTTTAAGCTTCAGCATGTGACCAAGTGGCTGTAAGCATACACATGCTATAAATTCATTGACTATCTTTTGTGATGCTTCAAGGCTTATCCCTACTAATTTATGGTCAATAGTTCTGGACTTAAAATATTATATCTGAATGGACACATTGTTAGAGTACTTGCACAGCACACAAAGCCCTGAGCCATATTCTCAGCACCACACAAAATTTTATCTATTGACCTTATGAGAAAATATTTGTATTAATTCCAAATTCACAAGGGAATGTCCATGTAAAGACAAAAGTGAAATCGTGGGGCTTGTAATAAGGCTGAATCAGGCATTCCTAACTACAAAATAAATGTCTGTTTACATTTTCTATCGGCCAAAATGTCTGCTCAGGTTGTCAGGATGTTTGGTATGCTTGAATCTTAAGTGATCAGGAGCTGAGGGAAAAAGAAGAGTAATTTCTAGCCAACTGGCCCTGAGCTATGGGTTACATCTAAGGCTTGGTTGCATTCTGGCTTTGGTTTGTTTTCCATTGTTCTCTCGTTTTCTTCCCTTTTTTCCTTTTGCAGTGCTGGGGATGAAATCCATGGCCTCACTCATGTAGGCAAGTGCTCTACTACTGAGCTATGGCTGCAGCTCTTTGTAATCCAAGAGGTAGCAGGATGGCTAGCAGCATTTCACAGGAACTACCTTCAGCCTAGGATGGGTCCTTTTCCAGTGTGACTGACACCTGCCTCAAGATGGGAAGTGCCAGGGTAATCCAGCCCCTAATCATTCAAACTTCCACCATTAATAAGCCTCAGTGCCTGGTGGGGGCACCAGTCAAGTTCCTTGGCTATCTGTAAGTGTGGAGTGAAAACTGACAGAGTGGGTTAGATAGATTGACATTGTCTGCCAACTTCCATGTTGTGTTAGCTTCGGGATGCTTTTCTTCTGCTTAGTTAAAACATTAAAAATTTGTCACTTAAGTCCATATTAATTGATGTATGTATTAACTATGAAGGATGAAGTCTGTTTTAATCGGATGTGCAAGAAACTATCTTGTAAGGGACGGAGTATTTTATCCTGCTTTTTATAATTGAAAAAAGAAAACCTCTGCTGGGAAGCTTACCCATTATGTGGTGTATGCAGGAGTGTGGGGTGTGTGTGTGTGTGTGTGTATGTACAGTGGGAATTAATTCACAAGACAAATAACCTTTGCTAGTAGCCTTACTAGAAGAAGTGTTTTGTACTTTCGCTCAGTGCTGTTAAGGGGGATCTGGCATATGTTAGCAGGCTGAGCTTCTGGTGAACTCTAGCAAGTTAGCAAGTGTCCACAACAGCACTGCAACACTATGCTTTGGTTAATTCTCAGAGCAAAGAATAACTGCCTTCTCAAAGCCATGGAAACCATTCTCACTAACTTTCTGCTAGTACCACAGACTTCTTATACTTTACAAAGCTCCAAGGATTGCTTTCATGGACTATGTACATAAGTGCAAAAAAGGTGTGTCTCACACATTCGCACCCTAACTGAGACAGTTAGGTCACTGCAGCATATGCTTCTTAACACTGTTGAGGGGTTTTTCTATAGTATCTTTAGGTGTGGTTTCACTAATATGAGTTAATTTCTAAACATTGCATCATGCTTCAATCCTCACACGAACTGGGGGCTTCAAAAACATCGTTTTGAGCTGTTATCTTCTATATGTTTGCACTGTCATGAACCACATATAGCTTACCAATAAAAGCTTTACATGCACATATGTCTAAAGGTAGCCATGTTGTAGTTTTGTTGCCAAAGCAACAAGTAAATATATTTAGCTGACAACTATTATTTGCATACAAAGCTAAATTTGTTCTTAAATTGTGAATTGTAGAGTGTAGTTATGGACTGTAATCTATACCGTGTTATGCTACAGTGTCAGCTTAGAGCTTAATAAATGGTCTGAATATATGTAGTAAAAACTTAAACTTGCTCTAACTCTTCTTCAAAATTAAATTCCTTAGTTACTTAGATACAAAAACGTAGTAAAATAAAAACCTTAAAACTAACAATAAAAAAATGAAAACATGGCACCAATTAGTGACTTGGTACTCAGAGCCTATATTTGTAATTACATTTACAGTTTGATTAGACTATCTGCTAAACTTGCAAAAAAATTCAACTCTTTTACCTATTTTATTCTACTACCTTTGACAGGCACTGGTAAAATTAGACCACTATCTTATTAAATCTACAAATCAAAATTGAGAACTGGACCCTCCAATTTTACTTATTTCCATTTCAATGTAAGTGAAATGTAGAAGAGCTTTTTTTAAGGGTAAAGATAACTACAATTACTAATCATTCTACATACCATAGCCCATTGCACAGACTGACAGATCTCAACAAACTTGGGCTGTATTTCACCTAAGAGCATCTCACCAGCACTCTTCCAAGACAAGGAAGAAACAACTGGCATTCCGAAACGTTGCATATGAGCTGCCTCAGCTGCTTCCATCATTTCCTACAACATAGTGTAGATGCTGTTCCTTCTTCACACGTCATTGTCTTACTGGTCATGCCAGTCAAAGCTAATTCAAGGCAAACACATTCATGTCATTTACTTCCTGCTGATAGTGGAGAGCAGGTACTTGCTTTTTCCTGGAGATCAGGGGAGTTGAGGGCTCCCATTAGTGGACAACAGTTATGGCAAGATCAAAGTGCTTAGCATGCTCAGAATGGATGAGCAAGATGGATGGAAGAAGACTGCTTTCACGACCAGATACAAATTAATCTAGGAAACGGACATCAAAAGCAACAGCTGGCTGTGGATTCATGCTCCAATGTCAAAAGTAAATGCTGTATTTAAGTAGCAATTTTATGAATCCACTTAATTTAATTTTAGTCCCTATTTAAAATATTATGGTCTCATACTGCTTTCTGTAAAAGCTGAATCTACTAAGCCCTTCTTAAATGACCTGTTTAGATTGCTTATCTGTATATTTGACATGTTTTATCCAAGTTTCAGTGCTCTTGCAAATTTTGGCAAAAGGCTGAGAAGATAAACAAAACCAATAATTTTGGAGAAATAAAAACAGAGGCCATTGTAAAATGCAAAGACTAAAAAATGCTAGCTAACTAAGAATCACAACTGATTAGAATTTAGTTTATTTACAGATGATTCAGTAAATTTTTGTTTAGAGTCACTGATTCATTGTGACTTGTCTTGTTAATTCAATTTATAGTCTAATGACTATATGACTAATGACATTAGACTATATATATAGTCTAATGACTATATATTAGACTATAGTCTAATGACAAGTCTAATGACTTGTTTTTTTCTTCAATAAGATCATTAGTCATTGCACAACTAAAGAGTGCCAACTTAAAAGTTTCATTTCCCTCAAAACTCGGTAAAATTGGATCAAAATGTTCGAGCTTTGAGTTTGCCTTCTTAAACTTCATGTACATATCAACTTTAGTATGTCCCAGAAATGCGTTGCACCAAAAAGACAACTACCCTGAATGTTCCTCACTGAATCTCTTCCTAAAAATAAGTCAATGTCAGTATCTTCCAGTGCTTAGAGCAACATGAGAACAGCTCTACTCTAAGTTTATCATCTGTCTATTTTTGTCAAAAGTGTAAGAAGTTAAATGAGATAGTATGTTGCATTAAAATGTCAAACTACAAAAAGTTCATTTTGCACAAAATATTCCCATATCCATTAAGAACTACATCTAGACTAGCTCAGATACATTCTTTCTGGAGTTATGATTTTAGAAAACAGAAATTAATTGGTTTAAAGAGCCCACAGGTAAAAGGGCACACAACTCTTAATCTCTAACTTCAGGCAATAGGTAACAAAGGGCAGAGGCCCAATAAACAAAGGGCAGAGGCCCAATATACAAACAAGACTGTTTAGAAATCACTGGGGACCAGGATTCACCTGGATAATTAAGATCTATAGGATACAAACCACCAGAGGTAATTTTGCTTTTTTGTATTCTGAGCCAATCTGATCTGCTTTGGGTTGGAGCCTCAAATGTTCCAAAAAAAAAAAGATGTAAAAGGGAGGAACAATTGGTTCCCACAATGGCTAGGCAGCCTTAGGCAAGTCACATTGCCTGGCTCTCTATTTTATCAGCCGTGGAAAAGGCAATAAAGTCTTTGCCAACTCCACTGTTCTGAAAATCAATCCAACTACCTGTCTTAAGGTATCCCAAATGCTCTCTTTTCTTGTGATGTTCATGAAGTAAAACGATCTTTATATATCCAACAATTTGATGATTTTATACTTTCCAATGGGAGAATACATATTGAGTAGAAAATATTAAATCTACTTAAGCTGTTGGAAAATGTTTCCTCCATGTTATAATAATAGTAATGTTAATAACTATGTAGAGTAGAAAAGGTACATTATATGTCATCGAAAGAGATGGATTGCTATTTGCTATTTGTGAGATTATTTCATACACATTAGTAAGAAGAATTCATACCACACCTCCATGGGATATTGCTATTCTATATCAGCCAAATGATGATAAAACTGACTATAATTTTGAATCACACATAAAGGCAAATAAACTCAAATGAGAAAAAAATAGGTTGTGTTCTGAGACCCCCCCCCCAACTCTGATGTTAAAGTTTTGGCAGAGAAAACTTGTCAAAGCTTGCTACTTCACTGCAGCTTGTAGAAAATTGGAAACTCGGCTAAAATGAAGTAAAAGACAATTGTGGAAACCTTTTCTAGTTCTTTTGCATAATCAGTCATTTTAAATGTCTTCCTGTCCCTATCCCTGCCATTTTTCCAAATCTGTACTCAGCCTCCTTCTGTGATCAATAGAAAAGACTGTCCATTTGGGGAGGTAAGGCCTCATTTGGAAACAATTCTCTTTCACCTGGATTGACTTTTGCTAGACTGCATCTTACTTATTATTCAAAGAATAGTTTAAAGAGCATGAGGCATTTGCATTTGAAAAATGGCACTTGTGCAAAAGGTTACAAAGCAAAGGTTTTACACACTTTCTGCCAGTATATAAAAACTGTCTCCACGCCCACATCTCTCTGCTTGATTTATAAGCTATGATTAGCATACCTTTAAACTAGTAAGTACCAGTTTCTCAACTGAAGATGACAAATGGCTCAATTTTAGACACTCAAACTGAGAGACAGGATTCCTGTGACACAGTAAATGTAACAGCTACTCTACATACTTTTTGTACATGTTCAGAAATTTATTGGAATGTGAATATTTGACTTTCAAGTTATTTAAAAGGAATGGTTTAAGGGTAACGTGAACTTTCCTATCATATGTTGGTAACTATTTTTCTCTTTAAAAATTGAGCATATTTTAACTATGCAAAGTCAGATCTACATGTAAAATTCTATGAACAGGTTTTGTGTACACTCAAAAGTGAGGCCTTTTAAATGTTTGCATCAAGAAACTTATAGAAATGTTTTAAAGAGTGCATATTAACATGAACCTGTCATGTTTTTCAATCACATATACCTCTGGTTCCCCACTAATGCATTTAACTGAAATCAAACACCACGTATAAACAACAAAACACTAGCATGGAAAAGCTAAACAGAACCCAATTTAATACAATATATCAACGGGGTAAAATGGTACTGGACATATTCGTTACATTCTACATCAATCCAACACACTATCCTGTAAACAAACAGTAAGGTAACACTTCAAAAACAGAATTAATCCACCAAGAATGTACAGTAAGCCTACAGTACACTGTGGAAGTTCATTTAACATTACAAAAATTGCAAAATTTTACAGTTATATCCAATATGATAGATGGATAATTCATGTAATATGGATCTGATAAGGCATATAAATGACAAAGCTGTATGGTTATATTCTATATGCTAATTCTTTTACAATTAATAATCCATATTAGGTAACACATAGTGGTCAACCTTCTATTTGCTTTAACATCTTCACAGAATTTGGAATGCTTTATTTTAAATTTGAATTTTTTGACTGTTGTATGTGCTTTAATATATTGACTGCACCATGCTTATAGTTGTGTTGGTAGAAGAGGACATACGGGAATATGTATAAAAAGGCCATAACAAGTTTCTTCTTGAGAGATTTGGGTACTCTGTAACTCTGCTGCTCAGAATTTCAACTGAAATAGAAAACAAAACAAGAGAGTCAGTAAAAAAAAAAATAGTGAAGGGTTATTGTACTAGGTGTCAGGAGACTAGTTCTTATTCCACTTCTATAAATGAACTAAGCCAAGATATTCCTCACTCTGAATTTCAGACTCTATGTCTGTGACAGTGGGAGTAATGCAAACAATCACTAAACAGACACATAGCTAGGACAGTCTATGGGAGCTTCCCATGATGGCCATATTTAAGGCATTATCTAACAATGCCAAACTTTTTGCTCATCAGCCAACCATCAGTTCACCTCATTCAACAGACATGTACCCCCAAGTTGTATTTAATACCAAACACTTGGAAAAAGTCCAATAGTAAACAAAGCTTTACACTTTTAGCTGAATATCTTACACCCTTCCAGAAAAATCCTGAACAAGTCATTTACTATTATACAAAATGACATTTTTGATCTTTGGAGAAAATTTTCACACTTGTTGCACGTGAAAGTTACTGTATTCTGTCAAATGTCTTATTGTTTCTTTTTTTAATTTTTAAAACAATCTTCTTTCACATACCAACCCCAGTCCCTTCTCCATCTCCCTCCACCTCTCCCCACCCCACCCCCATCCACTCTTCAGAGAGGGTGAGGCCTCCCATGGGGAATTCCTCCATAATTTTTTAAAGGAATCAAGAAGAAAAAAACCATTCTTCCAAACATATTTTATGTAAATTAATTGTTTGATTTTCTTTACCTTGATGTCCTATGAGAACCGGGCAAGCATTGGACAAACCTCCACTCTCATGTCTAGGGCTTTCCCGAGTTGCTACTATCCCAAATAACACCTGCGACAATGATTCTAACTTCCAGCTCCTTCAGTTCTCCCACAGCTTTTGAAAAGATTCCTATGACTGAGAGGACCTGCTTACCTAGTGTATAATAGCTATGGGCTTTGTCTGAAATAGTATTAAGGACCTGTTAGTGGGAGATAGGGAAGTAGGCCACCAGCGGGCATTTCAGCTACCTCCTTCAACCAAATAACACACTGAAGGTGGGAGACCTTCAGACTTTCTACACTAACAATGTAATTCAGAAAAGATTCATTTGTTAGCTCTCTAAAGTTTAGGTCCCCACGATTCTTAAGTATCTTCAATAGACATATTCCGTGTGAATGACTGCTTGACCTAAGTGTGTGCTACTAATGACCTCTGGACCAGGCAAAGCAGAGGTCAAATGTTGAGGGTGAAAAAAGAATGAAAATAATTATTGAATTTTGTATGTCATTCAAATTTTAAAACAGCTAGTGCAGTTCTATTTGACCTAATTGGAAGCAACATACTGCAACATACAGAAAGAGCACAGCTTTCTATACTGACTCAGAAAGAAACATAACACTGTCTTTGAGATGATCACGTCAGCCAAATTCTGACAAATTTACTTTGCTTTACTTCAACTAACAATAAAGCTTAAAAATCTTCAATAATTAAGTCCAGTGTAGCGGGATACACCTTTGATCCCAGTACTTGGAACACAGAGGCAGGCAGATCTCTGAGTTTGAGGCCAGCTTGGTATACAGAGTGAGTTCCAGGATGGCCAGTGTTACAGAGAATCTTTTCTTGAAAACAAAACGAACAAAAAAGCTTAAAGAATTAAAACTTAAATGTGATTTGTGCTTTTGGATAATTTTTTGGCCCTTTGAAAATAGAAAAACATTACTGAGTCTATGAGCTCATTAGAAAAATACAGCAACAGCTGTCATCTCCACAACAACAAAAAAAATCTCTCTCACATTTCAGTTTCAAAACTTTTGAATTTACAGTCAAATTCAAGTTATAAGCAATGTTTTTAAGTGAAAATGTTTACCCAAACTTAATAAACACAACTGTGTAAATAAAAGATACAGCCTACAAATACCATCTATTAATGCTTAAAGAAACTTACTGTTCTACTGGTAACTTCTACATCTGTGAAACAAACATGCTCCTATTCAGCTCATCTACTGATAATTGGGGCATCTATAGTAGTAAAAAAGATTTTAGATTAAAATGATTTCTTAGACGAATCCCGTTTTTGTTCACTGCTTGAGTTCGTTATGTCAAAATGATAATAAATTTCACAGAAAACTAAGTATATTTACTATTTCCACTGTATCAATACACAGGTTAGAGGGTGTGGTTTATCCATTGAATGAATGTTGTGTGCTTCTTGGCTATCATGCTTGAAATTTAAGCAGCAGCCTGGGGGCAAGTGAGCACTTTGATAAGGCAAAACAGGTATCATGGCATTCAGTAGCTACTCTTTTAATTGCCTCCCCACTTCAAGATTTTCTAAAAATTGGCCATTTGGCTGTGAGTCTGCCTGAAAAACGTAAACCAAATGAAAATGGAAACAACACAAACACATCCAATGTCTACATGACGGAATTTCTGATGTCATCACTGGGTGATAATAAAGATGTGCATCCCTTGGAAAGAAATGTGATAGCATGCTTTCTTTCCAGTGGAACTGCAAGTAAAGGTTATGTGTTTACTAAATCAAAGTTCAAACACAATAACCAAAACAAGGGGGGCAGTAAAACCACTTTCTTCTTCACCAGGGTGAAAAAGCATTTAAGGCATATTCAATACAGCATATACATTTGAGGATTGGTGTGGTAGCAATAATTTGATATAGAAAGACCCGAGTAGCATCTGCTTACCAATTAACAATGAGTAAAATGTTGCCGATTAACCCCGAGATAAACAGAAAATCACATGCACTACCCTAATTATACATACAAATAAATGTTCCAAATCTAATGACTGGTTAAGAAACACATAAGCATATGGACTAAGGATTTGCACCAATCCAAAAGGTATATACTGTGCCTTTTCAACACCTTGTGGTTATCTAGGTCTGAACAGATGAAATAAATGGCCAAACCTGATTGCCTGTAGTTGTTGGAACGAAGGGAACGCTGGTGGCAGGTGTTGCTGCTGCAGACACAGTGGAAGGTGTAGCACCGTGCATCATGGGCACTTTCAGTAGGAAATCATGGAAGCAACACATGGAAGGGTGAAGCATTTACACAACCATGACAGATACGATGGAATGGGGTGTAGTAGATATCCCAGCAACAAGCCATGTAACATCATCATGATGGATATACACCAGGGGTACAGCATGCAATCAAAGTCAGTGCAAAGCAGCACAGCATGGAATGGAGGAAAATTTAAAAAGAGAAAAGGGGAAAGCCAATTATAGTTACTATTAAGGAAAACAGCCATTCTTAACATTTTGAGCAAAATGACACTATAATGGATTCAAAAGGCTGAATTTTCAAGAAGGGTCTTAATGAATGTATATGAAAAAATCTGCTGTTACCAGGACTACCTATTGAAGCTAGTTAAGCAGACAAGTCACCAGATTGGACAGTCAAATTAATTAGGGAATTGTCAAGTGGCGTTTGGTTTCACTGACAAGTCTGTTACTAGATTCTTTTGGTACAAACAGCAGTTTCAAGAGTACTTACCTGATCTGCATACAAAAAGAATGGTGGTTCTGTTGCTAAGCATGTGGTACAAGAGCAGGAATGAAGAATAGAGTGCTCTATGCATTCAGTTTGGTAAGTTCCTTGGAAATTTGAGCTATTCTCAAACACATGAGTGTTCCATAGTGAATCTTGTCTTTACAGCAAATACTAGAGCTACAATGGCTAGCAGATGCGAAATATCTTTCAGGATGTTTTCCTTTGCTTTGCTATTTTGTGTTTCATTCTCAAAGCTTTCGGATGCTTTTCTAATTTCCAGTTATTTTGGAAAGCCTACCAGGGAATTAGTATGTGGATGGCGATGTGTGAATGGGAAGCATACATATAATAATAATCTATCATGTCTACCTTGGTGAAATTCAGATTTTCTGAAAGTCTACTGACAAAGTGAATGGCCAGGAGGAAAATGCAATCAATGCCAAAGCAAGTAAGACTGTCCCCCAAATAGTGATTCACAGAAACTCCATAGTTGTTCCTTTTATCCATCTCTGGTTACTTATTCCCTACAGCCATCTTTCATTGTCTCACGTGCTAATTCTAAAAATACTCATGTTTTTCTCACTGGAAGTACAGCAACTGTGCAGGAAACAGCAGTGCCCAAGCATGCAATTGCATTAATAAGCAGAGCTCTGAAAGGGAAAGGTCAAGGAAGCTGCCCCAAGAAACAGAGAAACATTTCTCACAGTTGCAGGTTCTTCCACTTACATTCACAGAATGTTCCTGTTAGTATCAGTGCAATGTTAATTCCTATGGTGACAGCTAATCTTTCAACAACAGGTCTTGTTGCATTTGTGTTGCTTCTATGTGGTTATCATTTTGACCTTTATTTTCTTTTTAATCTCAATCACTTTGTAATTACTTTAGTCTACTAGTGAGGTGGATGTCAAGCTGCTGCAAATTTTCTAAGATGAGAGGACCTGGGTTGATAGGAGAAGCTCATATGTGTTTCTTATTCCCTACTTTACACAAAACTAGTTTCTCATGCTCTGTTTCTGGTTCCCATGAAGACTATAGGAACTGTGACCTCCAAGTGGCTTTCTTATCCTCTTTTCTATTAGTGAAATACAAAATGGCTTACGGATGGGTACCATATCATGGTGGTGGCTAACTAAAGAATTGTATCTAATTGCTTACTTCACTTGATCTTAGCCAAAAGGCTAAGAGGGTAGTTTAAAACCCACATCATCACCCCAAGTCACTTTTGAAATGATTCTGTTGTGCCTAATTTCTGGGCAGATGATGGTCCATCCTTGAACATTAAAGACTCCATCGAAAGGGGTTGCAGAGATGGCTTAGCTAAGGCTAAGCTCAAATAAAAAAAATAAGAATCTATCACAGAACATGGCAGAATGTTCTACCTTTGCTTAAGGTTATCCTTTCTTAACACCTGTGTAATGAATGCATTATACTATGAGGATAACTTTGGGAGGGGATTGTTTCATTGCTGTTTATTAAATATACATTTGAAATGTGTATTAAAATAATAGATACAAGTCCAAGAAAATCATCCACTTTCACTATGGAAAGAAACATTTAAAAAATATTTTAGTTGCTATATTTAGGATGGAAATAGCAGGGTTAAAATTTGGCTACAGTGGCAACTTACTAGAACTTGAGAAATAGGTCTACTTTGATTCCAAAAAATACCACATTAACCTTACGTACTCAGAAGATGTCCACTTACATCATTTGGTCACTCATATTTTCATAGTCACACTAGAAAAATGTTTTTAGGTTAGAGAAAGTGGAGAATGTTTGTAGAAAACCTACCAAAAGTTGAAGCGGGTGCCATGCACAGTATTGGCCCTGTACACCATGCAGAAAAGCGTGGGAAGTAAAGAAAAGAGAGATTTCATTATTAAGGCCTTACGGACAGAAGTGAATTTTAACTAGAAAGATAATTTTTGCTACATCAATTAATCAGCACATGCAAACCAGTAATCACCATGCTTATAATTACAGGTTAGATTTAAGACCACAGACCCAGGGAAAAAAGTAATTCATAGATTAAAAAAGAAATTCTTTTTTAAAGGAATCATCTTACTTAAATTATTTATTCATTCTAAGAAAATACATTCTAAATAATTTATTCATAAGAGGAGATTTTTTGTTTACTACAAATATTCTTTTAAAGGTATGCTCCAGGATCCAAGCCAGTACTTATAGAATTAATTTATTAAGTGATCAGTGTATTATTTTCCCTATGTCTGAGTATACAATACTATGTGTCTGGGCATATTTATGTAATTTTTAAGTTTTGCAAAAATGATTTTTAAAGCAAATGGAACCACCCTCACTAAAGGCTTCACAATTTTAAAGAAAAATTTTGCAACTTTTTGACATTATTGGAGATTAAGTCCAGGGCTCTGCAAATGCTAGAGAAGTTCTCTATTAGACATACATCCCCAAATCTTTGCTTTCTCTTAATAATAATTTCTAAGCGTTAGAGGCTAAAACTACCTGTTTTACATATATTGTAATATTGTGAATTTACTATAAATATAAGGATTTTAAAAATATTCATCTTGTTATATCATCATTATATGGACTCCGGCACTTTACAATATTGAATACAAAATTCTTTTGACAGGTGATTGCTATCTGTGAAATAATGATTACAAATCAAGTAATGAGTTGAGATAAAACCAAGTGAATCAACCTTTAGAAGCAAAAAGCAAACAAAAATCAAAACTCGGTTCCTAGTTTAATTTCAATCCATTCATTTCCAAAATCATATGTTATTTTAGATAACAGCAAATAAAACACAATTGCTTTATTTTACTTTGTAGTCAAAATGCTTGGTGAACATTCTCCAACAAAAGCCCTTTAGAAGCTGCTGTGCAGTATACATATTCAGACTGCTAAAGTCAAGACTCCTAGAGCTGTGTTCTCACCTGTAGGGATAAATGCTGGCTGCGGAATCTGCATGTTAGCCAGAGCTTGTTGGCAGTGGAAAACATTGGGATTAAAGACTGGGGTGGCACCATTGTTCTTATCAAGTGCTGACCTCTTTGGTATCAGCTGAAGTGCACCAGGCTGCAGAGCCTATGGAGAAGGGATGAAACAGTCACTAGTATCAAAGAAGTAAAAATGTTCTCTAAGCAAACAAGTGCCAGTTATCTAAGATACAGCCTGGGGAGTCACCACAAGGGTATCCACAGAGCAAGACTTTCCATAAGTAGTGGATACTCAGCAGGGCAAACAACAAAGATTAGCTGTTTCAGTGCAAAAAAGTTAGTATGAAACAGAGATATAAAGGGAAAGGGCCTTTTAATGTCACTAATCTCTAACACTTGGGAAAGGATGTGACAGAAAACTCCAATGGCAAGTTGACATACACAATTAACGTCTGAGATGTGTTAAGTTAAACAATTGTCAAGTAAACAATAAAAATGAGAACAGAAATGACATGTAGAAGACGACAAAGATTTCTGCCTCTTAAAGTCCCAACATGGATGTAGGGGATAAATGTCATGTGAGTAATGTAACAGACATTGGCATTATGATATTGTAGTCCTACAAAACAAAAATCTAATTTAGACAAAGACCTCAGGTTCAACTCTCACAAGTGTTTATCAGAAATTCGCCTGTAAGGAAAATGCAGGTGAATTACCCCCCTCATCACCAATCTCACTCTTGTATTAGTTAGTTAAGTGAGATGTGTTTGCAGTTTTCTTTTACAGAGGCTCTTTGCACACTTCAGTACACAACTTTGATTCATTAAATAGCTCTAAGTTTTAATCCTAAAACCTACCAGAACTTTTAAGCCCTTCTTCTACAGCTAAAGTTATTTCAGAATCTCACTGTGCTTTTACTATCCAAGGGAACTCCTAGATCAGAGTCGTTGAAAAAGTTTAACATGACTTTGCATTTTTCCTTCAGCAAATTAAGTGCTGGTTCAACAAGTGCCAGGTGTGCTCCAAATTCCTAAGGAGACAGGAACACTTCTGCTGAGGAACTAGCCTTCCAAGCACCAAAAAAGTCACACCTTGACCTCCTGATGCCCATGGATACTAAAAGCCTAAAATGATCCATGCTTTCTTTTCAGAACCATTCCTTTGATGCACACATTATTTCGATTGTTCAAATAAGTCAGATAAAAATAAACCAAGTAGCTTTAGAGATGTATAATTTCCACCTTTCTCTGAGAAGAACAGATTGCAAAGTTCATGACAGATCCTCCTTTGAAAAATGTTATTTATCATTTGAAATGCCTTTTGAAAAGAAATCATTGAGGTGAAAGGGATTCATTGAAGATTTGAACAGGACAGGAGACCCCTTATTTGGCTATCTAAAATATTTCCCTTTGGTATAAGTTGAAACTGTCCCTTTCTCTGGAAAATTGTGAACATCAGAACCAAAGCTGTGCTACTCAGCAAACTCAAAATTGAGGCAAGGCCTAAAGGAACATTGAGCTGGCAGATCCTAGTAAGGTAGTACCGTCTGTTTACTACTGGGTTGAGTCTTCATGCATTGGTGTCTAATTCTGATTCAGTAGTGCTTATACTATTAAGAAATATTTCTCTTATCGATACAGCAGGCCTTCATAGGCTCCTCACAAACTTACTACGTTGCCAAAGAGGTGTGAGCCTATGGAAGAAATAAATAAACCCTCTAAATCTTTTTCTTTCATTTTGTGGGGGAAGGTTTGAATGTTTCACCCTTTAACTCAGGCAGTCCTTAAAATCATGACAATCCTTCCAAATGTTAGTATTACAGGCATGAGCCACCATGCTGAGCTTTTAAAAAATACATGTAATTCTTCTTCAGTAAACTCAACCTGAGCTGTACACATGAACAAGGTAAATATCATCCACATGCCAATATAAAAAAGATTAAAAATACAAAAGGATCAAACCTCTCCCTGGAAACCTCTTTTATTTATTCTTGTATCACACTATTTCCTTTGGGTCACTCTGACCCATAGGGTCACTGCTAAAGTGAGACCCTGTTGTAATCAGTTAGAAAAGGATTTTTTTTTTTTGTCGAGACAGGGTTTCTCTGTGTAGCTTTGGAGCCTATCCTGGCACTCTCTCTGGAGACCAGGCTGGCCTTGAACTCACAGAGATAGAAAAGGATTTTATGTTGACATTCACATGTTTCATTGAAAGAATGCTATATAATATTTAGCTGTCTAAATAGAAATAATTTGAGAGTAATTCACTATATAAATACCCTACCAAACAAACTCAAATTACCAGTGGACAGATACATATGAAATTCATCCCCAAGTTTGGGTACAGGAGCACAATTGCACATAAGCAAGACATTGCTTATTTTTATATATATCCTGTGTATGTATGTGCACATGTGTGTGAACTTTTACAACCAACCTAGGTAATTAAGAAGTTGAAAGCTTAGCTAGGTGTAATATAGAGCACCTATAAGACTAGATACTTGGCTATCTAAGGTAGGAAGTTAGCCTGAGATCAGGAGTTAGAGGTCACCACTGGCCCAAATCTCTTAAAAATAAAAGCAAGGCTTAGCTCCAGCACTGAATATCCTAGATACCTTGCTATTTTCATAACTTAAAAGCATTCAGAAGCATTTAAAACCAAAAATATTTGAGAATATAATTAATATTCATTAACAGATTTGTTGCCCAGATCAAAGGAGAAAGTGAGTTTGTTCTACTTTTGTACCCAGGCCCTTCATGAGTCACAGGAGTCAGTTTTGAAAGAAAAGGTGTAGTAAGAAAGTAGAGCCAGTACAATAATGGTGCTACACCCTTGAAATCACAAATTATGAGAAAAACTTACAGAAATATGGGACATTTGGTATTAGGGAGTGGACATGAGATCCTCTTAGGACAGTAGCTGACTCTATAACATGAAATTCCAGTTACAGAAAAATAAATTTTATCTAGGTATGAGAACAACCTTCTAAAGCTGGATGGCTGAAAAGGAATATATTACTCATGGAAAGTTGAAACAGGAAGAGAGTGAATTCCAGGCTAGCCTGAAATACAGAATCTGAAGTCAGTCTGGATTTCATAGTATAACTTTGTCACAGGAGACAAAAGAAAGAAAGGAAAAAGGGAAAGGGGGAAGAAAGGAAGAACAGAGAGAAACAGAGACAGAGTAAGATGATGGGAAGTGGGATGGGAGAGAAGAAAAGGCAAGGGGAGGGGATGATCTCCTATTAAAACACAATGTCTCTATTATGCCAATTTGAATAATGCATGCACATATAATTTGGTTCATACTGATTATGGGATTTGGGGTTAAACAGGTAACATGAAGTTTATTTCAGTTTTGTTCTCCACTAGGAATAGGAGTGAAGATCTTCAGTAGCAAACATCAAACAAGCAAAGAGGATGGCAAGTAATGCATCAAAATATTTCAGTTATGAAGCACTTGAGTAATTCTAACTTTGACATCTCACACAATAGTGCCAACAATTACTTTTTTCTACTTGCTACTTGTTAGCGTTATCAATCAGAACTAACTTTTCCCCATCACTGAGTCCTAGGTCAACTCAAAGGAGAGGCCTTTTCCCTCACTCATGTCAAAATCTCCTGGAAGATATGTCAGGCTTATGCCTTGATCTTCCCTCTGTCTGCACCACACAACCAGAGGAGAAAGGTAACTTTGACCTTAGGGAAATTAGAAGCTACTCAATACCCCATCACTGAAGCATGGTGTTTTCAAAGGGCATTAAGGAAGTGTCCATGAAAGTGACTCAGAACAGAGGCAACTCTGCCAGTTTTGAATATTCAATCTAGTCAGACTATAAGAGGCACTCAACATAATTCACTGTTTAAATCATATAACTTACCTTTCTCTAAAATTAGGAAAAAAAGAATAGTGGGTTAAAATCATCAATAAAGCTTTTAAATAATTATCTTTAGAAAATCTTAGCAAATAAAGTAGAATAAATTGGTTGTCTCTTTTCAAGCATTAAACTTTGACTATTCATATTAAGATGCACTCATGAGTAGCCAGTCTTTTATGTATTCAAAATGTTAGACAAAGCAGGCTTACAGTAAGCCCACAGTCCCAACCTGCTCTTACCATTGCAGCAGCAGCGGAATGGTTCATCTGGTGATGAGCTGCCTTCAGTTTGGCTTGCAGGTGTGGAGGAGGATGAAAGTACTTGCATTTCTCCCGGGAGCATCGGCCTTTAATGTAATCCATGCAGATTGTCACACTATTATCAGACACTTCAATCATAGAAACATCCGTAGGGTGAGCATAGCGACAATCATTCTCCCCACGGGTACAATTTCCACGCTGAAATTCACGGCAAACCTTGAAAAGGGAACAAAAACAAAACCACACATTTCCAGTGATGACTTGAAGGTAACTGGCTTTTGTTTACCTTCCAACAAGATATGAGAGTCACATATACATTTTGTCATTTATGTAGGAAATAGCTTTAAAAGATGAAGGGTAATAGAAAGCAATATTAACCCTAAGATTAAAAACACAATTTCTATTTCAAGGGGGGGGTCACATTTTCCACAAAGATAAGAGTGTCTATTTGCCTTACACCTACATAGTAGGACTTTAAAGTATTACTAGAAATGTGTTTGAATCTTGAAATTAACATATACTCTCAAGTGTAATTGATTCTTTAAGGTCTGGGGTGTTTCTTTATCATACAGCAATGCACTGCATGATTTTTATAGCCAGTTTGTAAAGCACATTGAGTCCCATGTATTTTTAGATTCCATTATAATACATGAGCAGGCTTTCAATTGGTTGCCAATGAAGCTGACTTTCTAAGAAATCAACCAGTTATTTATTCTAGTAAACAAAGAATAACAATTAAAGGAAACTAAAGGGTGCCAATAAATCAAAGGATGTTTGAAATTTATTTTAAATTCTTTAAGTTTCATGTGATATTATGAAGTAGATCATTTTTAACATGGAGAAAATGTTTAGATGTGATAAAATTCATTTATAACCTTCATATAGCTTTATACTCTATAATTGTAGAATGTTAGGTTCATTGTTTTCAGTTTACCATTCTAGAAAGTAGATACTCATGAGCAAATCTGGTTATCCCATTCTATACAGCTCCAGCATGGGTATAAAGAAAATTTTCATTCAGACTTCCTACACAGTGGTTCATGTTTGGGTATACTTGAAACATTGTTTGACCTACTGCCCAACAAATTCATTCACTTAAGAACAAGGTGTAACTAAAGTTTAAAAAAATGGTTAGCATTCTTTCTCAGACTCTTTTATGCTAAAAGGTACTTGGATACAGTTATTTAAAACATTCAACAAATTAGGCTCTGAAAAGGTCCATTATGAATAAAGTTAATATTCACTCTACAGGCATTTATATATTCACAAATACCTCCAGTCTATCAGAACGAGCTGGTTTTGGGGCAGGAACTCCTGGCAATGCAACAGGTGGGTTTCCAGAAAACATAACTGGAGCATTCGGTAGAAGTTCAGCAGGAACCAGGCCCATCCCAGGATGGGGCATGTAGGGATTGAAAGCCATGCCAGGATTAGCTGCAAGTGATGGATTCATAGGAAAAGATGCCTGTGTTCAAAAGAGAGAGAAAGAGGTATTGGAGGTAATATATCTTTCTTACTACTTATTACACTAGGCATTCGCAAAGGGATTATAGCATTCCCTAAGCTACTATTTCTGTTTTTCTTTTATTTTTGAGATTATATAATCATATTGCTTTATTGCATTTATTATATAATTATGTGTTTTTATTTTATATATTTTAAAATTTATAAATGTATAATAATTTTATATATTTATATCATTATACCACTTCATCCCTCTCTTTCCTCCTTCCAAATCCTCCCATATGCCCTCTTATTACTCTCTTCAAAATTTATGGCCTTTTTTCCATTAATTTTTGTTAAATGAAATATATATGCACATATATACATATGAATATATTCTAAATAGAATTACCACCGTGTTTTGATTTTTTTTTGTCTTTTCCTAATTCCCATATAGGAGTTGTTTTTAAAACAACAACTATCTATCAGCATGAACTTTACTGGTAAGCTGATTTTTGAAAAAAGCCATAAATTCACCAATGGATGATAGCACATACACACAAGATTTCTTTTAGTTCCTCACATAGCCATGCCTTTGAATGTGGACTTTGTATACTCCTGAAAGCCTCTCTCCTTCCCTCTTCTTCCTCTTCCTAGCTATGATGCTTGGCTTTAAGGCTGCTTGTCCTGCCACATGTCCAATCACCCAGTAGTGCCCTTCTCTCTTTTCTGGTCCCACTGATATTTATAGAAGACTTGAAAAAGAAAAAGGTAATTTAGAAAAAGTGAATGCTTTAACAATTTACCATCTATATAAAACGAGGATAGCATTGTCATTTTATTTTACTATTTTACTACAGGTCCTGTTTTATAAACTAATCTGACTTGCCCAACCTTGTCTTTATCTAGGGGCCAGATGACACGAATAGTTCAAAAGGAGGCCCTAGAAATGCTACAAGGATTTCTATTAAGGAAGAAAAGATAACAGGATTATATGGTCTGTAATTTAGAGTATAGTAAAGAAAAGCCTTAGAAATGCAAAGGGCTTTTACCAGTTTGTTTCTCTTTAAAATTCATGGATTCAAAGAGATTGGTATGAGTATCGCCTTTAGTATCAGGAATGGCACATTTTATCATTTTACAGTGCTCTTTTCCAGTTTGTGCCACATGTATGCATGTTTTCAATGTGTTTATCATTTCGTTGATAGTTCTCTTATCCTCCCTAGAGTACTGAAAACTTACTCACTCAATGACTTGTAAATACAAATTGAAGATATATTTTAAAAATAAAATTTAAGTTTAATGAATGAATGATATATATTTCTAATAGCAATTTAGTAAGGTAGTAGCTGGTGGTATGTCACTGTAGTTTACTAAGTGCATGTGTTCTTTCTTGCATTCAATTTCTTTCTTTCACTGCAGAAATCAAGCTGCACCCATGCCTGCTGAACTGCATTCAAAGGGCTCTCTCTAAATACAGGGAGAATAGGGACCTGTGGAGTCTGGTGGGGCCATACATATAATCCCTACCTCATCCTCCAGGCTTACTTCAAATTTCCACTAGCACAGCTGCCTGAAGAAACCCTGAAGGCCAACTTGGCTGAGACAGAAGTGCTCCCACTTTAGCATTCTACCTTAAGTAACGTATCAAACAAGCTGATAGGAAGAACAGAAAGAATTCAGCTCAAAGGAACTAGGCTCATTAGGGTAAGGGAGGAAGGCATTTAAAGATGAATGGACCACACTAGATGCCAAGAAAGATGATCGAGTAGTCTGGGGAGGGACTCTCAGGTTTGAGGACAGAGAGTCTTGGGCTCACCAAGCCCAGCTAAGTCCTGTGGTGGAACAGTTCTCAGGAACCTGTCAAAGTTCTCATCATCTTCGGGAATTAGACATGACAAGTCAGATCTTACTAATTCAATGATTCACAGTCTTGTCAAAATCAGCAAGAATCTTTGAAAGTAAAAACCCCACATTTGAACTACACAGAAGCCTTGTTTGTTTTCTATTTGTTTTCTCTCAGACTTTTATAGAACTTTCTCATTGAAGTCACTCTCTCAATTCTAGTTACTTGTTAATTTTGCTTTTTTTTAACTGAAAAATTTACAACTATGATGTATTAAACAGAAACAAAGATTAAGGGGTGGATGAACATGCAGACTTAAAAAAATAAGGAAACTAACAAATTAGTAATAACTCATTTAATTAATGTTTAATTAAAAGCCAAGCCTAATGTTTACCTAAGCAAGGCTTTCTCTTTATGGCTGTAACCTCGCTAATCTTTTTTTTTTTTTTTTTTTTTTGGCCAGGGAAAATTTTTCATTTAACTTCTTTCTTTTAAAAAATCATTTTAATCTACTTAGGGTCTGTTATTTCTTCTAACAGTATGAAAAAAATCTATAAATAATCTGTGTATATGAAAAGGTAAAATGATTCCTGGAGATGTTAAGTTCTTTTTAAAGATTTAGCCACAAACTAAATCTTTTATGACCATTTCCTCTTTAAGTATAAATTTCATTCTATAGCACTTTATTGAGAAGTAAGTTATTTCAATTGCAGCCCTGGGACTCCTGAGATGCTTATTTCTTTTCAAATAAGCATTTCTATTTCCTCACTACCACCTCTGCCCCAGGCTAACTACTCCATTTTAGGAATCTGAACATTCAATGGCTTAGCTTTGACTAACAGCCATGGGTTAAGTCACGCAGGCCATAAACTTGTGCATTCAGTTGCAACAAGGTAAGCAACTTAATCCTGCTTCTATGTATATCACAGCTCTTTATGTCAATTAAACTAACATGAACCCATCTGTGAGTTATTGCTTACTTTAAAGAAAAAGGATAGGAGTTTGTATGTGTGTGTGCTGGGGCTAGAACCCATAACCTTATACATACTAAGCACACTACCACTCAACCACATCCCCCAGTATAAGGAAAAGGTTCTTGGAATCTGATTTCTCTGTGTAGTGTAGACATTTCAATTGCTTCTGATATTTAAAGCTAACCTAAAATCATTCACTAAATATGTGAAAATATGAGAAGATTTTATTTTCTTTCACAATCAGAGATGTAGATTTTTTATCTTTCAGAGTCTTGCAAAGCATGAAGTGTAGGTAGCAGACTTTAAGAAACAAGATGACTAGACAATTATTTGTCCTCAGCGTCTAGCAGTGTTTTCTCTTATCATACAATTTTCTAAGACTTCTGGGGCACTTGTGCAGAGCCTAGAAACAAGCATGCACTAAAGTAATGCTGCCTAACAGTCATGGAAAAGTCTTCAGAAAAATGGCTCCTAACCCTTTTCATCTGAGACTTTGTTGGAGTCAGCTAAAAGCCGCAGGAACTGTATACAGGAAACCCTCACAAATATACAAAATGCCACCTGGGATCTTAGGAAGTTGAAAGGCCCAGGGACATCCACAGATTTCTGGCTCCTCACAAGCTTGTCCAACCCATGGCCCACAGACCACATGAAATTGGAGAGAGCCTCAACACAAAATCAAAAACTTACATAGACACTATGCCATTCTTTTCTGAGATTTTTTTCAAGATGGTTTCTCTGTATAGCTTTGTAGACCAGGCTGGCCTTGAACTCAGGGATCCGCCTGCCTCTGTCTCTGCCTCATAAGTGCTGAGAGTAAAGGCGTGTGTCATCGCTGCCCAGCTCTTTTGTGATTTTGGATTGGATTGCACAGTTCTCAAACATGAGCTTTGTGGGTGACAATGTCTTGTCATAATGGCAAAAGTTTGGACAAGTCCACGTGAATAATGTTCCACAAATCAAGATTCCTCAGGCAAATATGACCTGCCCCTACTTTTGTATGAACAGCAACCTGCTTTTTATATTTTTAATGTTTAAAAATATTAAAATAATAATATTTAGTAACAGGGAAATTACTATGTTTTTATTTTAGTGTATTCACTGATGTTACTGTGCTGCTTTGTAGGTGTATATTATAAAAATTATGGACTTTTGTTTTGGTTTTTCGAGAAAGGGTTTCTGTGTAGCTTTGTAGTCTGTCCTGGCACTCGCTCTGTAGAGCAGGTTGGTCTCAAATTCACAGAGAGCTTCCTGCCTCTGCCTCAGGCATGTGCCACTACCA